CATATATAAAATCCTAATTAAAGAAATATAAACAATGACGTCATAGCCACATCAGGATATGACACACATAATTAAAATAAACTATGGCATCATCATACCTGAAAAAATATGCCATCATCATGACCAAGTAGAGACATGATATCACTTTTCTATTTATAAATTATGATCTCAACATTTTTTGATGACGTCAACCCTAAGGTATGCTGATGTCACCTCACCAACTGAAAATAAACTATGACATCATCCTATCTTAATGGGATGCATGACTTCATCTGCGTTAATGTATTCCCCCGCAAGTTAATGAAATTCCCTCGCATGGAAACGGATAATTCTGCGCCTTACCCACTACTTGCGTTCACCGATGTTGAAACTTAGCTTTCAACGAACCAATTCCCCTGAATTATTCTTTACTTGAAAATCGATCTAAATACTAAGCTCAACTGAGGCCATCTTCGTCTTTGACAACGATACACTCAGCAAAACAGACTTCAAGACCTTAGGGACTGGTCAAAAAGTATAGGAGGGTGGGGCTGGGCCGGAGCATTTGGAAATGTGGTTGATAAAAAACACATGGCCCACCCCCTCCCTTCGGCACAAAAATGAATGACCCACCCCTAAAGCGACCGCCCCTCCCTTAGTTAAAACATGGATGTTTGGTTTCCTCTTAATAATCCAATGAAACCTTCTTCTGTGGTTGACAAAATTTGTTGATACACTGCTACAACCAATATCAAGATCATAGAAATCACACCTCTCACTGAATAGACAAATGTGAAAAACGGAACATTTCTTGTTTCGATGGACGTTATGAGTCTTGACACAAATATACAGCAAAACGAGGGTATATTGAAATTGTCTGTCACAAAGCACATGAAAATTTCTACAAAGACAACCCATTCCTACAAATTACTTGCCGGAAATGCTTAGATTAATCCTCAAAGAAAATTTCTTCCACTTCAATGGAAAGCACTACCTACGAAACCATGGAACCGCAATGGGCACAAAGACAGCATTTTTGATTCCTTTGCCAATATTTTCATGACAAATATTGAAACCACAACTCTAAGCAAAACTGTCTTCAGAACAGTTTCGAAATGCTACATACACGATATCTTTTCCCTATGGGACATGAGTAAACCAGACATCGAAGCCTTCATTGAACAAGCAAACTTACATCACCCAACTATTGAATTCACGGCCGAAACATTTGACACTAAGACTGCGTTTTTAGACACGGTTGTATACAAAGGCACAAGATTCGAGGAAAAATCTATCCTTGATGCAAAGACAAATTTCAAACAAACTGAAACCTTCTTGCACCCTTCAAATGTTAAAAAAGGATTTGTCAAAGGAGAAGCCTTGAGAATCCTATGAAAAAAACTCCTCAGAAACAACCTATGAGGAAAATAATTCAAATTTAAAAAGAAACGCTTGATGGACGGAGGCTACCCACAATCTTTAATAGAAAACCTACTACCAGAAATAAAATTCACAAAAGGGAATCTAAACTCCTAAAACAAAACAATAAAAACGAAAAGAAACATTGCCATTCGTGACACAATACCAGCCCTCAGTGTCTACTACAAAGGAAGCTTGAATGAAAAAATGGAATCTTATACAAAAACCAACTATAACTGCAATAAATTTTTAAAGAACCACCAATCATTTCCTTACAAAAAAGGAAAATCATTAAAGGACATGCTCGTTAGAGCAAAAAAAGGTTAACAGAGGGTTCCAGGCCAGTATAGATGTGCGGCCTGTCACCCTTTGTATTTTCTCGCACGACAGATTTGTGAGTATTTTAGCAATAATTCCAGCTGGCTGTGTTTTATATAACAAGTGTAGTCAACTGTCTCGTTAGTAGGTAGTGCCTAACAAAAGTGCCTAATAAAATAGGGTGACCCACCCACCTAAGGGTAGCTGAAAATTGCATGACCCACCCCTTGCACAAGACTCAAAACCTCATGACCCACCCCCTCTCTGCTCCGGCCCATCCCCCATACTTTTTGGCCTGTCCCTTACAACTGAAAAAGTCGCCACTTTTTCTCCTGGCCAAGTCAGTATCCACTGAAACCTCAGACAAATGTAGTAGGACGCGCAGAAAGATACTGAAGTCTCTATTGACCTTGAGAAATACATGAGTGTTACTAAAGTTCTTTATAAAGAATCAAAAAGCGCTTATCATGGTCAGATATTCCTCGCAGATTTTGGTTATGATAATACACTCTCTAAAAGAGCCCGTTCGTTGATAACTCACTGTTTTTTAAAGCAAAATGAAACTGTGTTGTGATTGATTATAGTTCAGCGTTAACCTGAGCAGGTACTTGTGTAGGGAAGAGGAGGAGGGAATGACATACTCCCCTGTATCAAAGCCGCTCTAATGTTAAAGGAACTGGGATAAGCTGTTGCCGACTATGCTATCTTTATCGCAACTTGTTTACTTTTCTACTTAGAAAAGAAAACAATCATTCTTTCAGGTTTTCCTCGGTCTGGGTGGGGGTTGAGCTTGGCCTCAATAAGCGGCTGGTAAACACGCCTTTGAAAAGAGACTTGGACAAGAAAAGTTTACAGCGGTAAAGGATTACCAAGGGAAAATAAATTCGCCCCAAGTTAAGTTCAGCGTCTAGAATTCCCAATGAGCATCAGCTCATAATTATTCCTATGCATGCCAACTGGCAGACTAGTTTTTTTATATATATATATATATATAATCTCGCGGGCATCTAGATCTCCCTCTCTCTTACGCTGGAAAGTCATCTCCCTTACCCTAAGTCGTGGAAGATTTAGGGACGAGGTTAATCCTATTCCTGTTATTAACTCTCTTACTTTTGTCATTTAGATTGAAACTATTCACGAATTCAAAGATAAGTTGCCATTGTGGCTTCTCCGTCGATTGCATCAAACAGAGTCTGTAAGAAAGCCAAACAAGAAGGCTGTTTCTGTATTTCAGAAGATTAAAGTAAGCCTTAAATTCACCATTTACTCAACTCTTTACTTGATACTTTGACTCATTGACAACAAGCAGGTCAGAACTCCTTACAACGGAAAGGGATGCTCTGCTCTAATTACAACACCTGGTTCCAGCGGTCCTTTTCGAAAATAGATAAGATTTGAATAACTGACGATATAAAAACTCCCCACTCCATTTTTTGGTCTTTCCTATTGATAACGAAAGACCTGTCATCAGTGATATAATTATCCGCATAAAATTTGGTGTATTTTTGCTTTGAATTCCTTTTAGAAATTATTAGCTGTTTCCCAAATTTCTTCTGTTTACGCCTCGAAAAATAGTAGCTAATTCATTCATTAAGAACAGGAACAAAAAAATACTTATAAAGCCAAAAAGAGCTGAAGACAATTTTGTGAATCTTGTAAATACATTATTACAATAATCGAAGTGCGCCTTGACAGGGCTATTATAAACTTTAATTAAAATATATAATATTATAAAATAACCAAGATTAAAACTGGATTCTGATTGGTCGAGACCAGTTCATTATATCTCCATGAAGCTCGCAGCGCACTTCACGCGTGCATTATATTGCAACATATGCACGCAAGTTACGTCACACTCTCTGCCAAACACAGAAATTTATCTTTTCGCCTATCCGCCATTATGGCTGAAGATCTTCCGTGCTTTAACCTTGGCTTTCAGTCTCTAAATGTTGAGAAAGACGAAAATATTGATTGCCGGTTGGATAAAATTTCAGCTGAAAAAAAGAATGCGAGGTTTGTACACCTGAGTGAACAAGACAAAAATCAACTTTTGGCAGAGGCAGAGGCGAAAGCCACAAAAGTTTAACAACTTGGGCTGTAAAAGTTTTTAAAGGTATGAAAGAACGTAGAAAAACAATTACTCCGTTACGAACCAGAGAAATCTCTGCGAACTGAAATAGCGGGAGTTCGTTTAGGTAAGACAAAAAAAGGCAACTTGAAAAAAACCCAGTTTTTTAGCACAAATAAACACCGTGTACTATACGATTTGTAATACGTTTCGGTATCATCTGCACTAGCATCTTGTAAATTGACGCTTTATTTATGTGGAATAGTAGTCTTAAAGAAATTAAAACATTTCGTACATGATTTTAAAACTACACTTTTTGTCATAGAATAGAGTGCTCAAAAATTGCCACGCTTAATACTTGAGCTACAAGAAATGGACGACAAACAACTGAATGAAAGTCTCTCATTGTTTTACACCGACGTTCCAAGTAAAAAGGGCGAAGAATACAGAAAGTGGTCGCTAATTTCGTTTTTTTTTTTTAACTTACTTGCGAAACTGTTTCGTAAACAGTTTCACAGACATTTTGCCGATTGGTAATGATTTTAAAAGTAGTTCGCAAAACGGGCGGCGTTTTCATCTTCATTTAAGATTTGTACCAATAAGAGATATTGTTCCTGTAAGGAGAAAATCGATGTTTACATATGTTTGCCTGATTTTGTCCTTTCATTTCATAAAAGAGTTAAAAATGAACTTTTTGTTTTGTTAAAGAAACAAAAAAAGGATTGTGTTTTATCTATAAGGAAAAAGTTTTAAAAAAATGCAAAATGACGTCATTTGACTTGTAATTTGCTCGTTTCAGAACAAGTGAAGGCATCTGTTTTTGCCTTTCTATTTTATAAAAGAAATAAAAAAAACTTGTTCCTCGTGCATTATTTGAGTTATATAAGCACTTGGGAATTTTCAAGAACACCCGAGAAGTGCGAGAAACACTCGCCTGCGGTTCGAGCTTCTCTAGCACTTCTCTCGTGTTCTTAAAACTTCCCGCGTGCTTATATAACTCAACAATGCACTCGGCGCGTTTTTTTATTTCTTTATTGTCGTTTTTTTCTTTTAGGGATTCGGGGGCAAGTTGGTCAGTGGAAGATCAAAATATTCACCCGAAGATGCGGAAAGAAATGTGGTTGATCAGCTGTCAAAGTTGTTTACCGAGAAAATGAACCAACAAAACACAAGGTACAAGTATTTAATATATTTATTATTTGTTTCTTTGTTTTAATTAGTCACTCACACAAAATTACATTTAACGCGTTAAACCTTACTTAAGCAAGATTACTAATCACCTGCTTGAGTACAGAGTGTAAAGAACACAAAACTTAAGCGACAGAACGACTATCAATGAGATAATTTTTTCAGATTTTTTTAAGAACCAAATAATAAAGAAGGGCTGGTTAGTGAAAAAAGTGGTTTATACTGAGAGGCTAGTCGAGTGCCATATTGGTGGACCTGATTACTGCTTAAAGCTACCAGGTAGAAGATATAGTAATACAAAATCATAAAAGTAGCAACAGAAATTAAAAAAACGAATTAAGACGGAATCAATTAGGAAATTGAGTAATTTTAATTCTCAGTGGACAAAAACCTTGTACCAGAATATTTTAAGCCATATCGCATTCTTTTGTACACTTTGCAAGGGCTATAAATGTAATAAGTTATATGAAATAACTCCAAAAAAAGGTTCTTATAGGAGCCCGAGAAAATAAATTTCAAATTTCACAGGAATTGAGAAAACACAGGTAATTTTAAATTTTCATCAGTAAGATTTCATTTTGTGAAATTTGAAGCTTTTGAAGTTTGTTTTCTCGGGCTCCCATAAGACCCTTTGCTTTTGAGTTATTTCATATAACTTATTACATTTGTAGCCTTCGAAAAGTGTAAAAAACCAATGCAATATGCTTGAAATTATTTTGGCATTGTACTGAAAATTAAAATTATTCAATTTTCTAATGGATTCCATCTTAATGCTATATAGTCAAGGACTTTAAGTTGGCTAAATATAGGTGCGGTATTGGTTAGAAAGTGAGCTTTTGCTGTGAGCCTCACTATGCGCTTTTGCAAAAGATAAATACAGTTTAGGTTCGTTTAGGTTGAAGTAGTAGGTGGAGGACCAGGCAACATTAAAGTATGTTAGGTGATATAAGGTCAGCAACGTTTTGGATGATAGATAAAAGCCGGCTTTTTTTTACCTTTCTTTTTGAAAAAAAAAAAACTAATATGAGGTTTCCTGCAGGATAGGCGCTGATCAATAATAACACCAAAGAATTTAGTTTCCGCTACTTGCATAATCACAGTAGTTTCCGTGACAAGACGAACATCAGCAGGTTGAGTATGATCGTCCGGGTGAACGAAGTCCTGAATAGGACTGTTGTTGACAGTGACTGACGTTTTGACAACCTGTGCGATAGTCATCTTCAGAGTCAAAGTGAGTTGTATCACGTCAGTTGATGGTATTTAAAAAACTCTGGTTATTGATCTGATTGGTCAATCAATTGGCCGTCTGTCAGTTAAGCCGTGATGTTATTGGATTTGAAGACTTGTAATTTCATTGGTGCGTTTTGATCCGTCTATTGTCACAGTGAAACAGTCGTTTATTGTTAGTCAAATTGTCGGTTGTCCAGTCATTCTCTCGTAGTTAGTTTTGCTTGAGTTCGTCAATAAGGCGTTTGTACGGTGCCAGTAATTGTTGACTACGATTCAGTGACGTTTGTCCTAATAAACGAGCTTTTGAAAGTGAGTCGTTGATACTAGTCTGTAGAATACGCAATACATGTGGCACAGTCCCAGTCGATTTGATGTTTCGTCTGTAAATGTGTTCAGCAATGTGAACATGTTAACGTCATCATTTCTTGTCGCTCGTTTGTATCCGATCAGTCGCGTGCTAAGGTTTCTGCCGGTCTTACCGATGTAAGTAGCCTGGCAGTCGCTGCATTTGATTTTGTATACTGCTCCCTGTCTGTCCTCCGGTTTGTCTCTTTCCTTGACGTTAGTAAAAGTAGTCATCGTAAAGTGGTTTTAGGTTTGTGTGCAACACGTATATAGTCAGGTTGTAGTATACGTGCGATAGTTTCACAGGTGCCTCTGATGTACGGTATAGTCGCTGTCGTAACAAGGGCAAAGTTGACGTTGGTCTGGGTGTTGGAATCAGCGTTACTGTGAGTGTTTCGCCTTTTAAGTCTGCGTTGTAGCTGTTTTTACAAAAACCGTTGTTCAGTTTAGGTAGTCAGTCTCGTCTTGTAGGCTGTCAGGCGAGTTGCAAACTAATTGCGCTCGTCTCGTCACAAGTCCGTATGGTTGTAGCCTTGTGAGAGGTCGGGTTGTACGATGACTGGTCCAGTAATCTGTCGGTATGTGTCGGCTTTCTGTAATTGTCGTTCGTAGTCTGTTTTTGTCCCAAGTGACCCAGTAGTCTAGAAAACGTATTTTACCATTTTCCTCGATTTCCTTGGTAAACTGTATGTCCGCGTTCGGTTTGTTAAGGTGATTGTGAAAATCGTCTATTTCGTCCTTGTGTACAGTGGTGAAAGTGTCGACAACGTAGCGTAACCAAAGAGGTATAGTTTGCATATGAGCAGCTAGCGCTTGCTCCTCGATGTTTTGCATAACTATTTCTGCCACAACAACAGAAACTGGAGAGTCCATAGCTGTACCGTACAGCTGTTTGTAGTGTTTGCCGTTGCACTATAAGTACGTCGAAGTTAGGCAGAGGTTAGCCTGCGTAGCAAGCGTTTCCGTGCGGTTTAGGAGCAAAGAACGAGGAACGAGAGTCAAAGACCGCGCGAAAAATGCCACAAGTGGCCGCCAAAACCGGTCTTTCTTTGCTCCGAAACCAAATGGCAAACGCTTGCTACGCAGGCTAGGCAGAGGTTGAGTAGTTCAACAGTAGAGTTCTTAATAGCTTTTTCCGTGCAGTCTAGAGCCAGTTAAAGTGAAATACTGGTGAACAGTGATTTCACATCAAAAGACACAAGTTTTCGGTCGTCAGGTATCTATATTGTCTTGATGGCGCCAATAAAATTCTCACTAGACTGAAGTTTATATCTAGATTCGTCAGTCCAAGGTTTCAGTACGTTAGTTAAGTATCTTGACAGTTGGTATGTCGGGGACCCACGGAAACAATCTATGGGCCGCATAGGTATGTTGGGTTTGTGTAGTTTCGGTAGCCCATACGTATATTGGGTGGCTGCGGAACACTACACTCTCAGTCTGTTGTAGCGTCGAAAGTAGATCTTGTCGGTTTTCTTCAGAGTATTAAAGCAGTTTGTTGTTAAGTTTGCGTTTCAGTGCGGCTGTCGGGTCTCGTTTAAGTACCTCTTAGGTCAGTTTGTCGTTAACAAGGGCGTCCATTTTGTCGTTGTAGGCGGTCTTGTCCATAACAACAGTCACCCGTACCTCCCTGGGGGAAGTATGACTATGTTCTCGCCGGTTTTCAGTTTCAGTGCTTTCTGTTCTTCAGGAGTCAAGTGGCTGTTCAGTAGATAGGCTGATTGTAAAGTAGAGGTCACTCTACTTCTGATGTTATCCTTAGTCGATTCTGATAGCTCGTGTTGACGAGACAGAACGGTCTCAACGCTAAGTACAATAGCCTCAGTTGGTATTTGTTTAGGTGTCACCGGGTGTTTAAGTCCCTAGGAAAATAGTTGTGTTTCACTCTCATCTAAGGGACGGAAAGAAATATTCCTGACCCAGTTAGCGTCTGGTTTACGTCGTTTAGGGATTTTTGTGTCTTGCAGTCGTGTCCGTTTCTGTTTCTTTTTCGCCCGGTGCTGTTCAGCTGTCCGTCAATGCGTTTGTCAGCAGTAGTCTGTATAGCGCTAATTACTTCACGGGAAAAAATCAGTTCGTGCACATTGATTCTCAGTCATCTGAAGAGTTTGCCGTAACTTCTGGAGTTCCTCGGACCCCTGTTATTCATTGTCCACATTTATGACCTATCACGTTGTGTCAAACACTGTTCTGTAAATGTGTACGCTGACGGTACAGTTTTATATCTTGCTGGTCCAACTGTACACAATTGAATTTTTTACATTAACCAAGATCTTCAGTGTTTATCTGAATCACTAGAAGACAATAATCTTGTTCTCAACGTTTCAAAAACTAAGTGTATGCTATTTACATCTCAAAGGCATAAAGAGCGCGATTGCATTTTAAATCTTAATCTTCTCGGAAAGTCCATATCTTGCGAAACCACTTTTAAATACTCAGGCGTGGTGTTCAACAACTTTATGACTTGGAAGGCTCACGCGGACTATGTGTGTAAAAAGGTGGGGTCAAGAGTTAGTATCCTGGGCTGTGTTAGAAGTTTCATCACAAAAGAGGCAGCAACACTTGTTCACAACGCTTTAATTCTTCCATTATTTGATTACTGTGACATTGCCTGGAGTAACCTTCTACAGCAAGATATAGATCGACTACAGCGCCTACAGAATAGATCTGCACGGATTATCACACGTTGCTCTCGCTCATCTGAGGCAACAAGGCAGCTGCACTGGCCGACTCTTTCCAGCAGATGCTATTACCACAAGGCTAAACTCGTTTTTCTCTGTCTTCACTCATTAGTTCTTAGTTATTTTTCATTATATTTTACTAGATTTTCGAACATTCACAATTATTCCACAAGGCAAAGTATGAGGCTATCCCTACCAAACGTTAAACAAAATTTTGAGAAAAGGACCTTTCTTTTTACTGGCGCAAAAATTTTTAACAAACCCCCTTTAAACATTGAGAAGAGTGAAAACATTCAAACGTTCTGACGCCGAGCAAGACATTTCTTTTTACCATAACTTTGATATTTTATTACTATTTTAGGCTTTAAATGTGATTTTGCATTATATTTTTAGGCTTTTTAATGTAGTTCTTAAATTCTAGTATTGTATTTTTATTAGGCTTTTTAAATGTAATAGTTCATGAAAATTCTTGATGTAAATTAATTATTTAAGATACAGGTCCCCTATGGAGACCAGCCTTAGAGCTGAATGGGCTACCCTGTGTAAATAAAGTTCTACTTTACTTAATTACGGTAGTCGGTATAATTTGTTTAAGTTGTTGTTGTATTTTGTTGCTGTTAGTAGTAGTTGAGTCTTCTGGATCAACATCTCGTTATCACGTCATTTTTCCTTTGCTTTTAGAATCAACTCACTCAGCAGCGAAATCAGGGAGCAACGACTACTTTTAGAGAAATTGCATCAAGCAATAATATCCAAGAATGATATCAGCACACGT